GGCTGCTAGCATGGCTCAGAAGTCCAACTCTATTCTTGTTGCTTGGTAAATGACAAATATTCATTGAACAAAATTGTCCATTAAAGTTAACCAGCTAATCATTTTGGCACTACTCCTAATATTTGAGCATTTTTACAGTGTTGCAACCTTAAATGATAAGAATACTTCCTCTGTCACTGCTGCTAATTATTTTTCACAGTTTAGGGCGAGACCACTGAAACAGTATTCTGACATACAGTAGTAGAATTTACACATCAGTAACAATCTAGTGCAGCCAGTCAATTCACACACCAACTGATGAGGAGCAGACAGTTACATAGAACAGAGAATCAATGATGGGGTCATTGAGATTGTGCACAATCTGCCTACCTTCTGCAGCAACTGATTTTTGTTTTTCACTAAAGAATACATTAGAGTAGCTGCAAAGCATTCGCACTGCCAGAGAAGGAAGATTAGTATTGCTGGTTCCATTAAGTCACCTTCGAGCACAGTACTAATAACACAATGTCCGTGGCCTTCAAATTCACTGCAGTATGTAGGAAGTAGTGATTTGTGTCACAGTGAGTCTCTTTCAAAAATATGTCTATAATACTGTTTGATTTAAGCAACATGCTGTTCAAGGACATATGCTGGAACATGAAGTGGACCACCGCTGTTGTACCCGTCTGTATAACTCGCAGCTTTTAGACAGACTGCCAGTGGTGGAAGAAGTACTCAGATCCTTTATATAAGTAAAAGTGGCAATACATGTGTAAAAATATTCTGTTAAAATATTACTTAAGTAAAAGTATCAAAGTATTAGCATCAACACATACTTCAAGTACCAAGACTAAAAGTACTCATTATGCAAAATGGCACATTTCACATTCCTGTGTATTACATTATTGTATTATAATTACTGATTCTTTATAGTGTACATCACATTTAATGTTGCAGCTGGTAAAGGGGACGCTAGTTTCAACTAGCTTATATGCTTTTAATTTGAATTATCGCTGGGTAGCTTGTGAGTTTCCCACCAGGGATTAATAGAGTCTTATGATTAGACTGTATTTTTGTATTGATTAGGTTCTGAAAGTGACTAGTAACTAAAGTTATAAAAAAAAGTGATAGAGTACTCAAGTAAAGTAGATAATTCACATACTTAAGTCCAGTACTTAAGTAAATGTACTTAGTTACTCCCCACCACTGCAGACAGCCATAGAAGCTCTTCTGAGCCGTTAGGTTAAGTAATGTGACACATTCAAGGCTCACAGAAGTCAATTCTTACAAAATGAGTGGTAGGTCAATACATTTTAAAGCCACAGAATGACCTAAGCATGAGAAAGCTGATAATCAGTGCCAGTGACACTGTGACTCAATCAAAGAGAGCGTTCAGCCATTCAGATCTCACTCTAGACACTCTGCTCAAATTTCCCACAGTGGAAAACGTGGCTGAGTCATCTGACATGTTGACAAAACAAAATTCAAAAGTTATTATATTATGTTTTATGGGGCAGAGACCACACCCCAGTTTACTGTGCCATCTTAAAGCCACTGTCAATCATTTTCTCTCAGTTCTTTCATCAGCATCGAGACATCCTAGTAATCCCTTTACCTAATAATATTTACATTTATTAAACTAATTAGCATACTCATTGTCTTGGTTCGTCAGCTAATTGTGATGCCTTTTAGATATTGAAGCTCTCCTTTTACAAAACGGTAAGCACTATCACATCCAGAAATTCTCTCTGGCTGAGTAACAACTTAAAAATAAAAGCATAAACCACACCATATGAAATGACTCAGATTGGTTGAGAGTTTGAGAAAATGATGCACAAAGCAGATCTGAGTTGATAAAACTCTGATCTGGAGCTGTATACATCCATATGCTGTGAGGGTATTAACTGCTATGTGAAAACAACATTAGTGAAGGTACATGAAGGTACAAGTGCTGATAAAAATGTGAAGCATTTTATATCAGTGGCTCCAAACCATATACTTCTTCAAACCTCTAGAAATCCTTGAAATGAAACAAGAGATAATCACTCTTCAGATGAACTTCTTACAACTCTTGTCATGAAGGACCACAAGTAAGATGAACTTCTTGCAACTCTTGTCATGAAGGACCACAAGTAGACACCAGTTCCTTTCAACGTTATAATGATTATGATTATGGTTTTTATTTTCTTTTTCAATGTTACAATGATTATGATTATGGTTTTTATTTTCATGTGCCACCATTACAGGTCACTAACTGTGTCTCCTCTCTCCTGTAGTGTGTCCTCTCTCTCTCCCTGTACCTTTCTGCAGGTAGCCCTGGCTACGTTTCTGATGAGCAGTCACTGGCCACATCAACCTGCCCAGTGTTTGATTGTTTGTTTTTGTGTCTTATTGCTTTTCTTTTCTTTTCTCTCTCCTCTGTCCACTCTCCCCAACCGGTCGAGGCAGAAGGCCCTATTATCACAGAGGTTGAGATGCTATGAAGCACCTGTTTAGAAGTTCTTCACAATAAAAGAGAGAGACAACAGATGTAAAATATAAACAGAAGAGTTTCAGAATCGAAATGAGTTCAAATGAACAGAGACAGGTCTAAATCATTCAGACCTCAGGTTCAGTGCCAGTGACGGTGGTTTATTCAAACAACTTACCATGTTTTTCCCAGTGTTGTCAACCTGTATCACAGTCTCATCAGCAAATACAGTTTGCTCGGTGGTCATGCAGATGGTTTTTGTTACGCACAGTAGTTGTGATTTCACGCATTGCTCCAATAGGACTTCTTCCCACGTTGAACCATAACTGAGCCTTGAGTTGGCTTTGTTTTATCAAACTATCATTTCCAGTGAATATAAGGATGATTAAGATGATAGTAATGACTGTGACCAGAGCAGCAACAGCATCATCACTGCTGTCATTCCTGTCAGACAACTTAACCTCATCATTTTCATTCACGTTCTTATTTCTTGTTTCATTCGTCTCTGTGCTGTCATTATAGTTTTCTGCATACCTCATCATCATTCAGTGTGGGCAAGAGGGAGAGGGTTGTGACAGCAGTGACTGTTACCCCACCCACCTGGCTCTGAAGACAGCCTCATCTCTATACTCTCTGTGTTGATACGTTGACACTGTTGCTTGACTTCCAGGAAAAAGGTTTATCTTCACTGGTGACCTTATATGTACTGAGAATGAAAGTAAAGGTCTAGCTGTTATCAAATTAAACTCCTTTTCTCTTCATATTAGATCATCCACTCATGTCCCACTGCCTGGTCTTGTGAGAAGGACGTATATCACATTAAAGGGTAGTTGTGTTTTTTGCCAGTGTGAAAGCAACCTGACTGACTGATCACTTGTTTCTTGCCTTGGCAGGCTTTGTTGTAGCAATGTCGCTAGTTAGTTTGGTTAGTACATGTTTTTTTTTAAACTGACAGAAATAATGATTAACAATTACAAATTTAAGACTCTTCTCTCCGGGTTTTCCAACTTCCTCCCACAGTCCAAAGACAAAGCAGCTTAGGTTGACTGGTGACTCTAAACTGTTGTATGGATGTGTGTGGTTGTCTCTCTGAGTGTCAGCCCTGTGAAAGACTAGCAGCCTGTCCAGTGTGGACCCCACCTCTCACCCATTGTCAGCTGGGATTGGATCCAGTATAGATAAGGAAGGGGTGAATGGAATATAAGACTCAAGGTGTAATAAACCTGAAATAATCTATAAAGAATTAATGATAGTGATACTGCTTCATGAGACATTTAAATCATCATCATTCTTCAGTTCTTTATTATTCTGTCAATGTTTTCTTCTTCTGACTCAGATGGTGGTTAAAATGTGGGAAAGATGAAGTGAGGAAGAGGATGATGACATATCTAAACTATAAACACAGAAGTGAGGAAGAGGATGATGATGATGACATATCTAAACTATAAACACAGTATGACTGTGATGAAAACCTGAGCAACCAGATCACCAACATTATAGAATTTCAAGGTGTAGTTAGCTTCCAGTCAGCTGACAGGAAGCGGATGATGAAGATGCCCTCTGTGAACTCTACCTGCTGCTCTCTGCATTATTCAACAAAGGGGTTTGGCCTCAACTGTTGTATAATACTTTTAATACCTCCCAACCCCCACTCTGAAACTGTGTCAGGTTGTGTTGGAAATCAAGGACATGATTCAGAATCCTGTCATAATCCACAGGAAATGGTATGAACCTGGAGCCAGTGGCTTTGGGTGTGTGGGCCTATTTGTTTAAATGTTTGTGAGTCTTACTGTGAGAATGAGATTAGTGGCAGGCAGCCAGACTGGCACTGGGTTGTACCAACTCCCTCCTGCTTATAAAGAACCAACCTTATAAACTGCCGGCGAACACCGAGCATAAAGCCCATTCATTTGGAAATAAGATGAGTCTGTTTGTGTGTGTTATACAGCGACAAAGAACACCTCAACTTTAAAAAAACTTCAGAACAAAGAGAGCAATACAATTTACTACTTTTATTACAAATATTTACACCATAAATTCACTCATACAAGTAAAAAAAAGCAGCTTAGAATGTGAGGTAATATTAATTTTCACAGCTCAGACAAGAACAAGACATGCCAGTGTCTTAAAACTGTAAGTTTAGATTAATGGGCTTCCAACACCGTGTGGACAGCCCGGGTTTTTTTTTTTCTTTGTCTTCTTTTTCAGAGCACCATGTGAACACAGTATGTAGGACAATCCCCAAGCAGTACTATTGATTTATCAATGTCCATGGCAGCAGCTGAATGTGTGTGGCAGTGTGTCTGCCTTAACTGTCCTTCCTCGTTCAGTGTTAGCCTGATATCCCCGGTGTAAAGGCAGGGAATTCCCTGAAGTCCAAGTGTGTGTTGCTCTGTGGTTAACCGTTTAGCACTTCTTCCTTGATTGACTCATATCACTCTCTGCTGATTCACACATACACACACTCTGAGTCAGCAGCAGTCACTTGTTTGGACTCATTTAGGTGAATCGCTGAGAAACGACAGCAAAACATCACTCTGCTGATTCACACATACACACACTTTGAGTCAGCAGCAGTCACTTGTTTGGACTCATTTAGGTGAATCGCTGAGAAACGACAGCAAAATAGCCAGTTCCTCTTTCGTTTCTTCCCCAAACTTTCCGGTCTGTAGCTCCCCTCTGTTCTCTGGTATTTCTCCTTCTCTGCTTGCTGAGGGGCTTTGCCGGCCCGGCAGGCACTCTCGGCTCAACCGGAGAGGTAATCCCTCTGTCCCGGGACCGCTGATGTGGGTCAGCTCCTTAGTGCGTCAAATCGCCCTTGGAGTTTAACGAGGAGTTCAGAATCACTCCACTCCAAAAGTCCCATTGGAGGCTATTTTCTCCCTCCATCTGTTCAGAAGGCAGGAATAACCCGATTTAGAGACAAAGCGGCCAGAGACTCCCCTGCGCGACAGCTGCTTAGCGGGGCCGCATACCTGTCCTCCCCGGACTCCAGCCTCGCCCTCTTGATAGGAAGGAAGTCAGGCGCCACCGACGCCTTGCCCCGGCGTTTCCTGGACTGCCTCGCCGGGCTCAAGTTCTCTTTGTCCTCGGTTATTTCATTATCACACCCTTCCTCGTCACTGTCCGACTCCTCTGGGAACGGCTTAGGAGTGGTATATGTCCCGGGCAGACCTCATGACCAAGGAGAGCAGGAGGCTCCGGTGGAGTCTTAGCCCCCCTCTCTGGCTCCTGGAGGCGTACAGCTTACTTATCGACACGGCCAGTATCCGTCTGGCTTCGGCGTTCACTTCCATTGCTGCTGTGACACTCATTGTTTTTATGCGTAATTGCGCACAGTTGTTTTAGCACTTTCACCAAAGGTTCCCCAAACGGACGACTTTGATCTGTCCAGAGACTTTAGCTTCGACTTTCTAATCTGACTCTGTTCGAGGACTTCAGCTGTTCACCAGTTGTTGTACTCACAGAAATGAGAGCGAGAGTAGCTGGGTGGCGTTTTATTTCCTCTTTGACGTAACGCGGACCTCATCCCTCAGACACGAACAGGCGGTGCTCACACCTGCTGTAGCAGCAGCGCGCGCGCGCACACACAGACGTTTGTATTTCTATGTTTGTGAGGACACTCTCATAATGTATTGCCTAGCCCATTACCTAACCTTACCCAATACCCCAGCCCATAACCCTAACCTCCTGTAGGAGGTGAACGCATGTCAGAACGTGAAGACCAGAGAACGAGTCCCCACTTTCCCCCAAAACGCCCTCATTTCCTAGGTCTACAACTCGCACACCATCTGGTCTCCCTTCCCTGTTTCTCATAGCTGCTCTTTCGTTATTTACATTTCTGCTTTTACTGCATGTCATTTCTCTCCCATTAGATACAAGTAAGTTTGAAAGGCTTCGATTCTAACATGTTACAATATTTATTTATCAATTCCTCTCCCTCGTGTTTAGTCTCCTTTTATTAATTTTCTCAGGAACATGAAAAAAGATGTTTTCTCAGATCATTTTAACAGAAATTCTTTCACATTCACGAGGTGCTGTGGATGTCTTCATTTATTAATACATCGTACACTTAAATCGAGATTAAGCACCAGGTTTATTCCAGGAGAGCGTTTTTCACAGAAAAGCAACAAGTACTACAATTACACAGCTGTTTTGACAGGTGGTCTATATGAAGAAAAACTAAAACAATCAAAGATAATATCGCTAGATTCTATAGATTAATGTCAAACATTAATCTTCCAGCGTTTTCTATTTTATCTTGAGATAATAAATTTATGTTTCTCTATTAAATTATTTAGAAGGTGTCTTTAATACTACAAAATATGAATAACAGGCTACCATAAAGCATGGTTTCTATATATATATTGTATAATAATGTATTTTGGGACAGGTTATTTTATAAAGCCAAGATTAACATGAGATATTAAGTCGAATGGACCTTTATAACATGAAGGGGAAGTTGGTTTGGAGGAAGTGTTTTAACAGACAGGCTGTGAAGGAGCTCTAAGAGAGAGAGCAGGGCGACGTTATGTCAGTGTTTATACTCTGGTAAAAACCCAGCTGATAGTTCGAAGAATTTACGTGGGAGAAACAAACATGTTTCCTGGTTCACGGGAGTTTCTTTTCTTTCTCACATGCACTCACTCACACGCACCACGTCACTCACTCGCGCTCTCTCAACTCCCATATACGGTGCATCCGGTAGTAGAGCCCCATGGGGACGCGCACTGTGGAAAAACCATGACGCGAACGCGCAAGCGCATCTCTCCTTCCTTCCCTCTCCCCTCCCCGTACACGTGCACAGCGGTGATGGCGTCATCTCTCCGCCATATATGGGGTTGTCACCGGTGTAAATAAAGTTACTAAGCAGCAGGACGACTGATGTCAAACGGCAGGCAGCTGTCAATCCCGAGATGATGATGCTTTTATGTACCGTTGGAAACATCAGTTTAGACTGACAGCATAAGAAAGTGGCGCATTTTGAGACGTCCTGCTTTATCTTTTAGCAGCGTTATGCATTCTAAGCTCAGGGCAGTGGGAACCTCACATTAAAGAAATAAATAATGATCACATTTATAATGCAAGTATGAAATGATGTTAATAATTAGTTTAGGTTTTGTACAAACTTTCATTTTTGCACAGTGACCTGTGCAATAAATTGTAAATATGGCCAGTTATTATACTGGAAATTTGGTATGAGAAAGTCTGGGAGTGATCACATCTGTTTGTTTTTTTTTTGTTTTTTTTATTTATAGAGGTGACAAAGGGACGCACAGCAGTGGGGCGGTTAGAACTGTCGCCTCCCAGTAAGAAGGTTCGGGGTTCGAGCCCGGGCCGACCTGGGGCCTTTCTGTGTGGAGTCTGCATGTTCTCCCTGTGCCTATGTGGGTACTCTGGGTTCCTCCCACAGTCCAAAGACATGCTGACTGGTGACTCTAAGCTGTGTATGTGTATGTGTATGGGTGTGTGTGCTGACCTCTCTAAGTGTCAGGCCTGTGACAGACTGGCGACCCATCCAGGGTGGACTCTTGCCCAGTGTCAGCTGGGATTGGCTCCAGCCCCTGCAACCTTATTCAGGAATAAGTGGTATGGATGGGTGGATTTAACAAATACCCATCATTTCAATATCCAAGTTGAATTTAGGAACAGGAATTTATAATTTTGTGAAATTTCTGATTTTGTGGTTGGAAAATTGTCATAAGTGTATAAAAAACAAATCATTTAAGGCAACAAAAATGATGCTATTTTGAGAACACTTTTACAGCCACATGCCACACATCATGTCACACAACAGAGCTGGATAAGTATTAATTATACTCGTTATCAGTAACAATGGCGGTCACTGCCCTGAGTTGTCCACTGCAGGCTGTAACTAAGCTTGCTGCTTGTGATCACACAAAAACATAAATGCAAAGAGGAAAAAAATCAAAGCCTGTATATTTCAGAAAAGCACATGCACTCACTCATTATATTTAGCATTAATGAAAAAATTATCAAACATAAACATCATCGTTACTGGTTTGTGTTGTGAGTTTAAATCAGACTAACACAGTTTCCAGTCAACATACGCCTGATGAGTAGTACTATAAGCCGAGCAGTTCTTAAGAAAAAAAACAAACGTGACTACACATCAGGTTGTTGCCCAGCTGGTCGCTATGGTGACAGTGTTGTGTGTGATTAGACTTGCACAGCCTTTGCTTGAGGCCAAATGGGCGGCGAAGTGCGTGTCAGTCAACGTGTGTGTGCAGAGCAGAAGGCGGATCCTGCTCTTTCTTTCTGTAGTATAAACAGTGGCTGGTAGGAGTGGGAAATGACCTGGTGACATTTACAGGCAGGAAGCATGGAAACTGTTGCCACAATTAACATTATACTGTAAACTGGTAACAATGATCTGTTTTAATAAGAACATCAGGCACTCTGGGTTTGTTATGACTACATTGGTTGGCAGTGTGTTAAACCTCTAATAGAGTTTAAATGACCATAACAGTTTTAGCTACTTAACTACAAATAATGTATTCTTCAATATTCTTTTTAATGTGGCTGCTCATTTATCCAGTTTTAGACATATTTAGTTGCAGCTGGCTATTGTTTTTCATTTATTTCTTAACAAGACAACATATAGGAGCATTCTCTGATCTGACTCCACTATAGAGGGATTAAAATAATTTTTCAGTTTCTTCCAAAGATTCAAGATTCAGTATTTTTATTTGCCATTTATGAATAAACAGACAGTCTAGGCATATAGGAATTCTTGTGCAGGGCTCTCCAGGAGTCAAGTAAAGCATTTGAAGCCAAAAGAACGAACACCTTGTCTAAATATAAGATTACCTAAGAATACAAAATACAAAAAAAAACAGGAATACAAAATAGTTGATGAAATTGTGGATACAGGATTAAGATAGCAGGTAAAATGGGGAGTTTCAGGTATGGTATATGGTATATGGTATTCTAGGGTAATGAGGGGTTGCACAGGTTTTTCCCGCTTTGTATTTGCCATCAGTCTTACTGTGGCAGGAGAAAAGCTGTTGTCAAATCTTGTTCTGCTGTGCCTGAGGTTGTAAGCAGAGTGTGAGCTGGGTGGAGTGGGTCTCTGATTATGTTCTCTGCTCTTTTGCGACAGTGCTGTGTGTATATTGTGTCCATAGCAGTCAGTTCAGTCCCAACAATCCTCTCTGCAGTCTTTATAACTCTTTGAAGAGTCTTCTTCTCTGCCTGTGTGGTGTTACCATACCAGACTGTGATGCCATTGGTGAGAAAACTCTCAAAATGACAGTTTCATGAATACATTTTCAGATCTAACACAAAAGTACATAGTTTAGGCCTAAAAAACTAATGGAAGTACAGTGACATTCTAAGACAGTATAGTTTGCAAACTGTAAACTGTGATATAAAGACTATGGGGATAAACATATGCTGGAGTTCTGTAATGAACCTTGAAGGCTTTTTAAAAGTGTCATGTTTTGTCAGCTATAATTTAGCCTCAGCTTTTTGACCCAGTAGGCTGACACATGCAAGGAGCCTGCTATCTCTGGCTGTCAGAGCTTCATTTCAAATTTTAAGCATTTTCATTGCTTTAAAAGTTTTGACAAACCTGAAGTTTTCCTGGATTCTAAAGGGTTATAATGACAGCTGGCTGAGTGTACAGCGGTTCGGCCTGTTACACGGTGCTGCAGCTTAATGACGCAGAGACTGAAACTTGTTGTGGTTTAAAGTTGCATCCTGGCATCATTTGCTGTTGAATCTAATCAGAACACATATCTTCCTTCATGAAAATAGCTCTGTATAACTTCAGCTGTAGAAGAATACATCAACTAAAGTAGTAACTGTTTAAAAGGGTTTTCAATTTATTTTGACCAAACACTTAGCAGCCGCAAGCTGTATTCCTGACTTCCAGAGATGAAAGTAGGTCATCCATACAAGGAGCACTTGAAGAGACCATAAAGGAACGTGTCTGGGCATCTATTTTTGGACTCTGCACTTCTCTGACTGCTTCATCCTGAGTGTTAGTTCTTGGCCAGTTTCTTTTGTTATGACAGAGCGACTTGGTTCATTTCAGACTTTGGTTTGTTCCAGCAGAGATTTTCCTGCTACATCACTGTGCTGTAAAATGACTCAGACTTTCCACTGAGGTAGAGCTGCGTTGAGCTGAGCTGGACAGTAAAGGAGCAGCAGAGTTTGTTCACATCATGCAGCAGGTCGAAAATAACAGACAATCAGTTTCAAAAGCCACAAAAATGCTTCCTCACAGCAAGTACTGTACCTAATTCTTCTTCATCTGTTTTGGTTTTCATACTGGCATATTGATTTAGCACTGCATTCACAAATTCTAGCCAATCAGAACTGAGAATCCTCTGTGATCATATTATAGATATTACAAACTTTTTTGGCAGGAGTAGGCAGGAGTTTGCGCTGCTGCATTATACAGATCAGTGTTTCTATTATTTAGCCCCGCCTCGTTGACATAAATACACCTGTCAGTATAATGAATACTTACAGATGCAATCAAGTTCAACAGGAAGTTATTCAAAGGACCACAAACTAACTGATGGGGGGATTTCAGGGACGCCTTGACAAATACACGCACAGTCAAAATAAAACCTCTGACTGAAGAAACAAGCAAAAAATTGTACTGATTGGTGAACGGGTTTAATTTCTTAAAAAAGCTTCTTCAGAATTCAACCACTGACTCTTTCACTGTGTATGTGTGGCAAAAGTGTGGTTTTTAACTGTGGTTGTGAATTTTCACAGGGCAGGGTGGGAAGAAATGGAGTGAAGGAGGGGGAGAGGGCAGGAAACAGGATGAAGGCAGGAAGGAAGGAAGAAGCAGGACAGGACAGGGTGGGACTGAGAGAACAGCCCACAGGAGGAGAGACAAATGGGTGGGACACAAGGGAGATGTAAAGAGAGAAAGAGAAATTGCTGAGTGTGAGTGTTTTTTCAGTAACACCCTGCACTGATCCTCTTGGTCCATTTATGTGCCTCCTTAGTAATTCATTTTTAATGAGAGCTCTGTGTTGTCCTGTGGATTCACCAGCCTCAGGCAGATTTTCTTTTGATGGATAATGGATCAAATTAAATCTGTTTCATTTATCTTTACATCATTTCATGGAAAAATCACCATCAAAGGCTTCCATAAATATAGGTAATATGGAGAAAATCTGGTTTCATTTTGAAATGATTTCTTTTTTTTGTATTGTAGTACATGTCACAGTACAGTGACATGGCAAGCCCAAGTGTTTGCTGATTCCCCCTAACATATACAGATGTCCACAGCAACAATTTTGATAATTAATCAAAACTCAAAGAATAAAACATTAAAATAAAATAAAGTATATGATCATAGTATAAGAAATCAGTCACACATTGTCATATACCAAGTACGATATATGATATGTGACCAGTGTGCATAATGCATGGCAGGTATAATGTTTTTAAAACTAAACATTATTAAAAAACTTGCCCATATTTGATATGTTTTTCTATGCACGCGTAAGCATCTAACTCATGGGAACCCTGATGCATCATTCACTGAATCGTTATAAGGAAAAACAAACAAAAAACATTCATCTCCATCTCAATGTTTTCATAAGCAGATGACGTTTCCTCCATGATCCTCCACAATAACTGAACAAAATCCACCTGTTTATGAAGACCATGAACCATGATAAGTGGATCTTCAGGTTTGTTTTATTCATTTAGATGCTTATTTATTTAGGAAAGTACTGTTTACATGGCCAGTATTAAACTTTCATGTTCAATCTTTGGCTTTAAAGCTCCTATACAACCACAGTCAGCACACACAGGTGTTTTCACTTATATATCCTGATTGCACCTCTTCTCAGACTGAGTGGCTGCTTGATTGACAGCTCCCTCGTGCTCCTCACCTGTTGGGGCACAATAATCTGCACTTTCATTATTAGTTCACGGAGTTGAGTGACATCATGTAATTGAATCTGTAGCTCAACCTGAGATGTGGTCTAATTAGCCGTACTAATTGAAAACACCTGCTGAAGTGTGCAGAGCATTTAAAGGATAGTGTCACATTTTCTCTAGTCAGTCTTAAAACAATAATGAGGTGCCCTTATGAACACTATCATTAGGGTTTACTTGCTGTTTATACTGCCCATTTGGAGCCCTTCTTAATATGCTTTCAGGTGAAGTTATGGGTGACAAAATCTACAGTCCTTTTTTTGTGTGAAAAAAATGTATTTCTACAATTATCTGAAGTTAACATGTGGATTCAGAATTAGAGAATAGATTCTTCTTGACATGGGAAACAAGAGCTGAGTAGGTCTGCTACTGTATATACTGTACAGTCATTCTGTCTAGATTTTTTGTTTTGTGAATATCTGGACAGTGTGTATATAAAGAGTTAAATGCAATGCCTTGCCTTCTGTCTGTAAACACTTCTGTACTCTAGTTTACTGCAAACTCAGGCAGTGACGGCACAGATGTTGCCATGGCAACTAATATTATACATATGTCTACCAGTAAATGCTTCTTCTTTCCTAACACTTCTCTGAACATCTAACCAAGTTGTTTTTCTTTTGTAGGTAGAATAAACCTCCACTTTATTCACCTTCACACTCTCTTCACTCTTCACAAACATTATTTACATAAATTTGATTGATGGAGGAGTATGCACCACCTTGTTTTGTCAACTTTCACAAAATGGAATGGGAAAGAAATGATATGCAGCTGAATAATGTCATCAGTCAGAGGACAGTGTTAGCATCTATATGGTTTAAATGTCAGCCATTACTGTGTATGATATTACAATAGCTTAAACACACAAGTCCTGATACAAAAGTATAAGCATCAGAATATACTTAAGGTACCAAAAGTAAAAGCACTGATCATGTGGAATGTTCTCTTTCAGAATAATGTGCAGTACTATGTAAAAGTGTTAGGCACATTTACATTTTCATCCATCATGCAATTATCAGGGAGCACTTCCAAATACAGTCTGCAGCATGACAGCAAGCCCAGACATGCAGCCAGGGCCATAAAGAACTATCTTCAGTAGTGAGAAGACATTACTGGGTTTTACAAATGCATTAATGTATAATGGCTTTTATGTTACATTTGGTTAAGGTAGAACTAATTTTCATTTAGACTATAAATTTTATTATGCTGCTGTGAAACTTGTGAATTTTCCACTGGAGATCAATAAAGTTTTAACCTATAATTAAACTTAATCAAGTCAAGTCAAGAATCTTTATTGTCATTATGCATAGCACAACACATTTTTTTCCGGCAGCTCTCGGCTTAAAAGACAGACATATTATTTACATAATACAAAATTGTATAAGTCAATATAAAAATATGAACAAATAAAAAGGGATGTATGGGACCTAATCAGGTCAGCAGCATGTTAGCAGCATGATAGAGTGTAGTAACATTATAAGGTGCAGCTCAGTGCAAATCTCAGTCTTTAGGAAGAGGGGTGTGTCTGCAGAGGTCCAGTGTTCTGCCTGATTCATTTGTTGATTATCTTTTGTATTAATAAACTGTATCAGCAAGGTGTAACAAGTAACTACATGGAGTCAAATTCCTTATATTTTTTAAATACTTGGCAATAAAGTTTGTGCTTATGCTTAATTAAGTTCTGTTAAAATAGTGTTATATGCACAACCACGGTATTGCCAGATACATAGTGAAGAAAATCATACTACAGTTTTTTAAGTATAAACTGTCAAAGAACAGAAATAGTCAAGTAAGGTACATAAAACCGTGCAGTAGTCTAAGTAAAGGAAGCACTTTCCACTGACAGCTGTGCAAAGTGTCACTGTAGGCAGATTGAGCTCCGCCTGGGAAGCGCGCATGCGCAGGGAGAGAAGCGGAAGAAAGCATCATGTCGGTAGAAGATCCATTTTTCGTTGTCAAGGGGTAAGAAAGTAACAAATTTAGAACTAAAACTGAGTGTTACCTCAGAGTCGTTCATGATGTAAAATGTCCAATTCGTAATTTGACAATGAGTCTGTGTTTTCCTTAAGGACTAAATTAAATTAGCGAAGTTAGCTCATTGGCTGGTTGTAGCTAACTAGCACCAACGCTAGTAGCAGCTACACAGGGCTAGTCGGTGTGCTCAGTAATCTCAGATTTGTTTTTGTTAAATCTGGCTGTCACTGAAAACCCCTGAGCAGTATTGGGACTCGTCTGTCAGGCGTGTTGCAGTACGCTTCGATGTTGGTCAAGGGTGTAAACGTAGCTTCTGGTGTTTGCTTTGGTTAAACGAGAGGCATAGCTGCAGAGTTTGCTTGAGAAGCAGCAACCATGTGTCTGAAGGGTCAAGTCAACTTGCGTACAGTTTCCGTACTGCTATTGCTTTGTGTGTGTGCAGGGAGGTGCAGAAGGCCCTCTCTCGTGCTCGGACCCTGTTTGATAGGTGGGAGGAACTGTTGCAGGATGGAACCCAGGTGAGCGGAGCTGTAAGATCACTGTCCTCATGTATGTAGAGTGGGTACGGAAAGTATTCAGACCCCTTAAATTTGTCACTCTTTGTTATATTGCAGCCATATGCTAAAATCATTTAAGTTCATTTTTTTCCTCATTAATGTACACACAGCACCCCATATTGACAGAAAAACACAGAATGTTTGACATTTTTGCAGATTTATTAAAAAAGAAACACTGAAATATCACATGGTCATAAGTATTCAGACCCTTTGCTGTGACACTCATATATTTAACTTAGGTGCTGTCCATTTCTTCTGATCATCCCTGAGATGGTTCTACACCTTCATTTGAGTCCAACTGTGTTTGATTATACTGATTGGATGTGATTAGGAAAGCCACACACCTGTCTAAGACCCTACAGCTCACAGTGCATGTCAGAGCAAATGAGAATCATGAGGTCAAAGGAACTGCCTGAAGAGCTCAGAGACAGAATTGTGGCAAGACACAGATCTGGCCAAGGTTACAAAAAAAATTTCTGCTGCACTTAAGGTTCCAAAGAGCACAGTGGCCTCCATAATCCTTAAATG